AGTTGCTAAAACTGTAATGTGATATTTAAATCAGGTCAGAAAACACATTGTGAGCTTAAAAGAAAATATACCACAGCCACAACATCTTGGATTCTTATTGAAAATGGAGGAATATATGATGTTCAGTACCATAGGCAATATTAAAATTAAGCAACTTGAGTCATTGAATTGTTCTCTCAGAGAGGGTCTTAGACTTCCTTAGACATTTGGAGCTTGAATACTGGCAGGGTTATCCATACACATGCATGCGGACCCCCCTGGAGGTGCCACAGGGGGGAGGAGGAGGAGAATGGGCAGTGCTAGGGACTGGCCCTCCCAAGGTGCCACATTCTGGCAGAACTCAAAGTGGTAGAATCCTCTATTCAACCTGCCTTTCAAGGTAATCATTAAGGTGTTTTAGTCAAGACAGGAAAAGAACACATGTTTAACATTTTGATGTATAATTTCTAAGTATTTAGGTTTGCATTAGTACTTTTGCCTTGGGTCTTGCAAATATTAGGGACAACACTGCATGAGGATACCTTCAGTTTTTTTTATAAGGATACTTCTTACTAGTTTTGCACTGAATATATAAGCAACTGTCTTATTACTAGCTCTAGGGTGTTTTCCCCTAAGGTTATACTCAATCTTCAGTTTCATGAAATTTATGTAAATACCATATCCCAAAATATAATAATCATTTCTTAATACCTACAGGACTTTGAAATAAAATGGTATATTTCACAGTTGTTGCTGTGAAAACAAATAATCATAGTACCCTCCACTTATATTTGAGATACAGACACATTGCATGGATGGATGTTAAATGTGTCTCCACAAATTATCAAGACCTAGGATCACACAAAGCCTAGCTAGGGAGAGGGGCTGTCCAGGTGAGTTCAACAGAAATGAGTCAGATCCCTTAGAGATGGTTTTCAATGTGCTGGCCCTATATATTCACATTAACCTATACCATCTTAACAGCATGAAGCGATATTTCAATAGGTGAAATTATTTAGACAGCACTTGTCATATACACATATAACCTAGAGACCACTGAAGAAGCCAATTAATGATAAGCTAGTGGATTGTGATTGCGTTAACATCTCATTTTCAACTTACTGTTTCGCTTAGTTAAGAGTTCCCGTGAGAGGCTCTTAAAACTTCAAAATGTATTTTTTAATATCATAAGCTTTTGGAGCAACACATAATTGATTGCCTTGCCAGATACAAAAAAAAAATCATAGAGAACCAGCTCTGGCCAGTGAAAATTATGAGTATCCTTTCAATAAAGCAAAATTAGGTCAGTAAAAAAGTGCTAATAAGTCTACCAACCATTAGTGTACATTTCTCAATTAATATTATTCCTCTGCATATCTTATAGTAATGCAGCAATAAAAAGTAGTATCTTTTTATTACTTTACAGAGGATCAAGCCAGAGATCTTTAGAGTCTCACCCTTAGATATGTCTCCTTACTTAAAATCTTAGGCTACATGTTCTCTTATTTATGTAAAAAAAAAAAATTACAAGCTTATGAGAAATGCTATATAAATTGAAAACATGTGTGCCTCCTTTTTAAAATTATTGACTCAAAATGTTTCCTGTTCTTACATTAATATATAGCTACGCAAATTAGCCCTACCTTAATGAGAGACAGGAATAGCTATGGGTTACTGCAGACAATATAGTGAGCCTCAGCAGGTTACCCCCAGCAACTGGCAAGCATTGTAGGGCAGAATGCTAAATGCTGATTTCATACTTACCAAAACTAAATCGACAGGAAGAACAACTTTAATTTTCCTTTTAAACTGTTCATTCAGCTCTTTAACCAGAACAAGTACTACAATGCTCAGCAAGGATAAGAGCAGTGCTTCCAGTCGGACAGACTTGATGTTTTCAAAGACATAGGCATAGATCTATAGTGATGAAGAAAAATATTAACAAAAATCAGGGTCACCCACAACATACTAACATCAAAATCTGGCTCCATATGAATTCACTGATGTTTTGCAAAAATGTATCAAGGGGTGGGGAGTGAAAATGTGGGGCACAGAAGGGTGGTGGTCGTGCTCACGTAGGGCAAGCTATGACTCCTTTGCATGGACAGCATTGCCTTGTCCTTGATTCTTCCACCACACTCAGTGTTTGCTCCTTCCTGTGTAATGACACTGCTAGGAAGACGATTTCAGTTCCTTTCCAGACATTTCAATGGACACAGATACTAAAACTTGTTAGCTACATGCAGATTCATCACTAGGAGCAGTGAGGGGACCACAGGATCCCTGAACCCCACCACTCTTCCTCAAACCCCAGAATTAAACAAAGACCCTATCTATGGAGATATCTGGAAAGTTAACAGCTCTGCACAAAGAGATGTTTGTGTTTATCAGTACCTTCCACATTCTCTCTTATGAAGATACCTAACTTGTATAATTGTAGCAGTTTAAATAGGTTTTAAATGCTTATCTTAAATATGTCTCTTAATTCCTCCTTCTTTGGAACATGATTTTTATAAACTCATTTCTATTTGTTCACAACAGATTTCTCAAGTCTTGTTTCAGGTAGTAAAAACTAGTTTTCACTTTAGCACATGGGCTACTCTTACAGTAGCCCAAATTGTTGGTATCTTTTCAGCATCTCAAATGTAAGTGAGCACAAAAATAATAGGTCAAAATGTTATATAGACAATGCATCAAAATGTCTACAAAAACATTATGTAGACAATGTTCTTTAGCATCTCTTAAAATTCTGCTTGGTAGGTTACCCAATCAAAGGACTCAACTTATATGGTCCAGACATTAGGAATATGCCTGGTATAAAGGAAGTACATCAGCTTATCCAAATTGATGTTTTGCAAAAATGTATCAAGGGGTGGGGAGTGAAAATGTGGGGCACAGAAGGGTGGTGGTCGTGCTCACGTAGGGCAAGCTATGACTCCTTTGCATGGACAGCATTGCCTTGTCCTTGATTCTTCCACCACACTCAGTGTTTGCTCCTTCCTGTGTGATGACACTGCTAGGAAGACGATTTCAGTTCCTTTCCAGACATTTCAATGGACACAGATACTAAAACTTGTTAGCTACATGCAGATTCATCACTAGGAGCAGTGAGGGGACCACAGGATCCCTGAACCCCACCACTCTTCCTCAAACCCCAGAATTAAACAAAGACCCTATCTATGGAGATATCTGGAAAGTTAACAGCTCTGCACAAAGAGATGTTTGTGTTTATCAGTACCTTCCACATTCTCTCTTATGAAGATACCTAACTTGTATAATTGTAGCAGTTTAAATAGGTTTTAAATGCTTATCTTAAATATGTCTCTTAATTCCTCCTTCTTTGGAACATGATTTTTATAAACTCATTTCTATTTGTTCACAACAGATTTCTCAAGTCTTGTTTCAGGTAGTAAAAACTAGTTTTCACTTTAGCACATGGGCTACTCTTACAGTAGCCCAAATTGTTGGTATCTTTTCAGCATCTCAAATGTAAGTGAGCACAAAAATAATAGGTCAAAATGTTATATAGACAATGCATCAAAATGTCTACAAAAACATTATGTAGACAATGTTCTTTAGCATCTCTTAAAATTCTGCTTGGTAGGTTACCCAATCAAAGGACTCAACTTATATGGTCCAGACATTAGGAATATGCCTGGTATAAAGGAAGTACATCAGCTTATCCAAACTTGAATTCTATATATTGAACATTATCATTAATACCATGACTCTTTCAAACACCACAAAAAAACTGTACTCAGTTAAATTGGAGCCTGGCTGGGTGAAAATGATCAGAATAACATAGGTAATTGAGAATCCCCTTTTGTTCACACAGTTAAAATAAAAAGGAACAAAATAAACCATTGTGTAATCAGATACATTGAGCAATAATTAGGTGTCAGAGAGATTTACTTGTTATCTTTTTTACTATATTCTATTTTATTCTACACTACTTGGAAAGAAAATTAGGTACCACAATATCATAGTTACCTGAGATGCAGACAATATTTTTTATTCTCTATGTTGTGGATGATAATTGTTCACAGAATTCCTATAGCAAGTGAAGGAACAAGTTTCATTTCTCATAGTAACCCCTTACTCAAAGCCCAGGACAAAAACCCAAAATGCTACTCTGTGAAATACATTTTATATTAATATAGGGATGGGATTAAAGGGATGTCAAGAAAATTCTGTCTAAATGCGTAACTTGCATGATCCAAGGATAAAACTGAGAATACCATTCAGGTAATTCGTCAAGAAAATAACAAACATCCAAATGTTTTAAAGCATTTAGAGGATTGTTCCTTCTGTTTTATCCATGGCATTGAAAGTATGCCCGGACAGTGCCTGTGTAAGAAAGAGGGGAAATATGCAAAACTCACAAACCATACCAAATCTGCTATAATATGCATTTTGAGACCATGTGTTTGCAGTAATAAAAATGACCACCCCAGAATGAAAGGAATGAGAAAAGCTTCCAGGGTTTTTTATTGTCTATCTGGATTAAACTACAACTTGTAGAGCAGAACACGTCTCACAAGATGCTCCAGAATAACATGGGGGTGGGCAGAGGCCGTTACAACCAGCATAAAGAACACGACAGAAGAGCTGGCTGGTGAGGAGGGTCTCCCTAAGCTCTGTCCTGTGGACCCAGGCAGAGACGTCACAGCTAAAGCCAGCTGGTAGGAGCTGGACGGCATATGGGGACAGAGAGGGGGACAGGAACAGGGATGTGCACACACACTTACACGCTCATTTAATATAGCTCTAGGCATCCTAACCACACGTTAAAATTTCTCAGTTTTAGTTTAAACCCAGTCGTCTGAGTGTGCCATCACACGGTAAGCTTCGGTAGATTAAAAATTCCTATTGAAGATCATCATTTGTTTCCCAGACCTCAGAGAAGGAAAAGACAGTTTATATGTGTATGGATAAATAAGTAAGCTATTTCATTTTGACTAATCAATCAATAAATAAAATAGGGGTTTAATAAAATAGGGGTTTAGCTCATTTTGAGACTATAATACTACTAGTTCTTTAAAGTGATCATTTTAACTTGACATAAAATGAAAAATACTCATACGTATAAAGAAATCCATTTTGAGATATTTCAAGGAATAAAAATAGTCTATCCATAGTACATATACGGCTTCTTATTATATCCTTTAGAGAGGAGACTTTACAAAGCACTTAATGGACATTTACACACACATATCTTATTTATGAAATGTGTTTTTATCTGATTCAGTTATTTATAATAAGTGTTTTTTCTACTGATGGATTCTCAGCTCCTAGAATATTGTCTAGTAGATAGAATGCACTCAGTTAATATTGTTAAATGAGTGTATACTTTGCTCTAACATAGTATTAGTAACAATAAATCTGTATATAAGAGTAGATTTAACCTTGAATAAGCAGAATGACCAGGAGAGGAAGGACCCAGACTCTGGTTTTCTCATTATCAATAGTTGGGCTATGTCATGTTAAGGAGGTTTGTAGTTATCATTTATTCATTCATTCAACATGTTAACTGAGGTTCTATTTTGTGCAAGGTACTGAGCTAAATTAAAGCTACTATTGAAGTAAACTTCAGGTAATTCATTTTGATATATTCCATTTGCTCCAAATAATCAGGGTTTTAATAACTTTACTTTTATAAGAATGAAGCAAAATCCAAAGCTAAAAAATAACCTCATAATCAGGATTTAGTTTTAAAAAACAACAATAAAGGAGATCATACCCATTCAACAATTTCTCATTGTACAACTAACTGTTACTGAAGTTCTAAACAAGGCTCTACATAGAAACACTTGTACACAGGAGAAAAATCTAAATTGTGTTTATTCTGTTAAATTCCATGAGACAAAGAAAAAGAGAAAGTTCTTAAATGTTTAGAAATATTAACATGTGTTAAGAACTAAATGGACTTGCTGTTCAATCCTCAATTAACCAGAAAATTCTATCAAACAAAATATTCCTTTCATCAGCATTCTAGTTGCTCTAGGTTTTGCTATAATTAAATCTCCTAGAGAAAAAATGATTTGAATATTTTAAGTGTATAATGAGATCATTCATAATTCTTCAGTAGCAATGAGTGTATTTTTAAATTATCTATAAAGGGATCACATACAATATTATAAATCACATTTCTATGCCAAAGATAACATGTAAACTCTACAGTATTATTATTTATCATTCCTATGTTATCTTTGTATTAAGACTGTCATTAATAGGTTTGTGTTTCACTAGAGAAACAGAGTAATAGTACAATCAGCAAACACTAATATATCTGTTATCACACAGCTATATAGTAGGTATAAAGTACTAATCTGCATTCTATGAGTGTTAATTTCCAATATATGACTGACTCAGTCATCAACCACAAAACCAGGAATATTTGCAGAGAAAAATGGTAACATTCATACACGGTTGCTACCACATATTCAGACTTTGGTCTGAAAACACATTTGGCATAATCTGTGCACAATCATATATTCAAAATCCCACGACAAGCACCCTTATAAGAGACAGAAGAGGAGAAGAGGCGAACGCGGTGGGGAAGGCCCGCGGGGACAGCGACGTAGTTTAATGTGATGCAGGGAAGCCAAGGAAGGCATGGAGCCACCAAAGCAGAAGACGAGAGGGATTCTCCCCCTGAACCTGTGGTGGGAGGATGGCTCTGCTGACACGGTGATTTTGGACTTCAGGCCTTCAGAACTGTGAGAATAAATTTCTGCATGTTAAATCACCAGGTTTGCAGTAATTTGTTACAGTAGCCAAGTGATACTAACACAGTTGTGAGGTCAAATGTCTCTCACTCCTGAGACAACTCAAAGGGGGTGTTATGGATCAGCTGAATTCCCCTAACTTTCATATGCTGAAGATCCAATTCCTGGTAGCTCATAATGTGACTGTAG